AGGACCCGAAACGTGAAGCAGAGCAAGTCTCGGAAGTCGTCGTCGGGCCAGGCGCAGATGAAGCAGTCGTCTGCGACTTCGCAAGAAAGCGCTTCCGGTCTCCAGCACCACCAGCAAAACTTTCCCGGCAGTTCTTCCCACGAGCCCTTGCTAGGAACAGGGCCAACACTGCTGGTGTTGCCACCGTTGTCGCCGTGTTCCCGGGACGGCGGCAACGCTGCGACTTCCTTGTCAATCACGTCGTCCCGGTCCCGCAAGTACAACGGGTCTGCCGTCATCCCGAAACTGGGCATCGAACCCGCCGACAAGGATATGCAAGCTGGCTGGCTTTGAACTGATGAGGATATATGACTCTGTCAATGTACATTTCTTAAAGGCTTTTCTTTTTCATTAGAAAACCGAATGAAATTACCTTTGTTTTTGTTGTTATTATTGTTATTTAATTTTGCATTATGACGAGCAGTGCTGATGAGATGACGTATGCACATGAGATGTCGATGAACCAATTCTTAAAAACTTGATCTTATTCTGATGAGGATTATATGCAAGCTGACTGATGCTGGCATTGAATTAAAGAGTCAGTCAACAATTCAACATTAGCGTGAAATTTTAATTTGAAAATCTTGATAAAAATACCTCTTTATTGTTCGGTGTTCTTTAGCTTTGAATAACGAGTGCTGATGATGAAGATGAAAATGACATTGCTTTAAAACTCGACGATTTTCCGTCGAGTTCCGCTGGGTCTGTCAACATTTTTAGGGCTTTTCATTTGAAAAATCAAATTAAATTACTTGTTTTGGCTGTTGTGCGTTTGATTTTGAATGACGAGTGCTGATGAGATGAAATGACATGGTATGTTGGAAAAATTGACGATTTTCCAGAACTCGATGTCGATGAACTATAAGATGCTGCTGAAGAACTGATTGTACCTGGAGTCTGTGGTTTTTAACTGGAATTCCGGTGACATTTTCAAAGAGAAACCACGCCCGAAATGTGTTTTTTTTATTTAATGTGGAATGGATCGATGAATTTTGATAAGCAGCTATTTCGTATGAGTCCGTGTCCAGGTGCTTCAAGAAAATTTCCCAGTCTCACTATAATGATGTGTAACGAAAAATTGACGAAATGTATCTTTTCCTATCATGAAATGCGTTTATTTAAACAAAGCAAAATAAAATTATGTTGAGTAGACTGAATTTCTCAGTTAGTCGTTTTATGTCATGCTGAACATTTTTCTATAAAAATTGAAGACCTTTGAGCAAATTATACCCGTTGCCGAGAAAATAGGTCAGCAAATATTAACATTATTCGACCGGATGATGGTTTGCTGGCGATTTAAATGACACGCGAGGAATCTCAACTAATCCTTCAAAATTGAATCACTGGGAAATTCGTAAATTTATTCATTTTACCAAATGACTGCATTCGATTTTTAAGACGAAAAATGCATCTGGTTCATTTTGAAGTTATTATGGTACCACAGCAGTTGAAAAAAAATATTTCGCCAAACTGTGCCTGAAACTAGGCTAAATTAGGAACTAAAAGCTCTTTTAGTAGCATTAGAAAAGACCTTTACACGCGTATTAACCGGAGTAAAATTACAACCCGGTTTTTTAGGCACGTTTCGAAAGCACCAGACGAAAATTAAACGCTAAGAACTGCAGGGATTTCTCAAAGTCGGATTTAATTGCGTCAGTATTGCAGAATTTATACAATTATAGATGCAACTTACTTACTTGAATGATCCGTAAACTTCCATTACAGTTCTAAAAACGTAATTTGTTTGGAAGCCACTCAAAAAAAATTCGGATTTAATTGCGTCAGTATTGCAGAATTTATACAATTATAGATGCAACTTACTTACTTGAATGATCCGTAAACTTCCATTACAGTTCTAAAAACGTAATTTGTTTGGAAGCCACTCAAAAAAAAGCTCTATATATTCTCAGCAGAAAGATTAGATTGGGTCAGCCAAGGTCTCAATTTCAAATTCGAGTCGAAATTGTACGCCGAAAATATTTTTCAGAAATGCTGCGATTTTTTTTTCTTTCTGGGGCGCATGTTCGACAGACGAATGGCATTCGCGAAAACTCCGTCGATTTTTTCTTCTGCGGATTGTACAAAAGACATAGTTTTGAGCTTGTGGTCAGCGTTAAAAAAAATCGCTGACAAACCGCAATGTTGTCTGTGCCAAGGATTGGAACCTTTTGCGCGCCGAATTGCAAAAACTGGTTGGGATTCTTCTTGGTGTCGTTTGAACTTCGGTTGAGTTTTTTTTCAAGTTTAGCTAGCCTAGTTCTTTTGTTACGAAGTTTGGGCAAACTGTGCGCGAAGAAGAGCAAAATTCGAACAGTTTCTTTTTTTGGCAAAATTTTCTGGAGTATTGCCGTCTTATTGTTCGCTTTTGTTGCAGGGGTGCCTGTGAAAAAGAGACGGATTGTCAATGTTACGTTACCGAGAAAGTAAAGACAAATGCAGTGTTTTTGGGCTGTTCTTGGAAAAAAAAATTCTCGGAAATCCTGATCTACATTTTTTTTCGATTATTTCAGGTGTACCCTGCAAATAATTTGGGCGTTTCAAAATGCGTTTTATACGCATTTCTAGCCAAAAGTGCTACGCATTTCAAACCTCTCTATGTTACGCCTACTCGGGATTTTAGTTAATGCATACCTTATAGGCGT